GTGTAGGACGAGAAGGAAAGTCCGTGACCATGGGGGAAGCAGCTAGAGGGGGCAGCACACGGAGGCAGGAGGAGACACCTGCAGGTGGCAGGAGGCAGAAGACAGGGTCCCGGCCGCTGGTGCCTGTTACTTCCTGCGTGACTTCATGCAAAAGGGGATAAATGCAAGAATGTCCTCCTGGTGTGGTTCTGAGCTCCTGTGATGTCGTACAGGCTTGAACCTGCAAGGCGTCCATTAGCAGGTGACGCTTCAGACAGACTGGGGCCTGCAAAGGGGAAGACTCCTGTTTGGCTTGCCCACTCTTGTCTTGGGCTCAGCTCTGCTCTGGAGCGTCCAGCCAACTTTCCTAAGCGCCTGCTTCCTTAGTGCAGGCTGTTTGCTCCCAGCCTGGAGCTTCCTGGCTGGTGGTTCTCAGTTTGCATGAGAGGTTCACACTCATTGCTTGTATTGAAAGTAAACAGGTCAGGGCTTCACAAACCGCCTCGGAGTCTGGCCCTGTTCCTGCTCTCTAGCTCTCCCCCACAGCCTGTTCAGCATTCACTCACTCATCCCTTCATCCAGCAGCTCCTGAGCCCGGGCCCGCTGAGCCTGACCTCCGGTTGGCACTACGGAGGACGTAGGGAGTTCAGATACTGGCCTGCCCTCAGGAAGCTCCTGTCTAAGGCAGAAGATGAGCTCTAGCTGCTCTCTTGACAGTGACCAGAGGCTCCTGGCACCTTCAAACAGGTCTGGGAGCAGAGGCACACACCTGCTGAGTGCACAGGCTGCACCAAGCCGGTGCCAGGCACCTGCGTGCGTCTGGAATCACTGTAGGAAATGCTGACGTCTTTGTCAGCTCTGGCCGGCGGAGGGGGCCTCCTCCCCCAGAACCCGGTGTTCTCCCGCCTCCAGCATGCTCGCGCACCCACTTCTGCAAGCATCTGTCTCTGTTTCCTGCTGGATGGTAACCTCCTCCAGGGCAGAGACATGCATGCTCACCCCCAGAGCCTCACTCTCAGTGGCTGCTGAATGCATGGGAGCAAGCAGAGACCTGTTTGGAGGCAGTGAGCGTGGCCTCAGCTTTGAGAAGAGGTGGGGGTCAGACCCCCGGATGTGGGATGCAGACAGCTTCATGGGCAACGGCAACGTCTTCCCTCCTGAGCGCTGAGTGATACCAGAAGAGTCTTCTTAATTGGTCCAAGTATCAGGCGGATGCTCCTGCCATCCAGTCTGACTTTTTTTTTAAGCTTTTATTTTATTTGTTTGAAAGGCAGAGTAATACATAGGGAGAGGAAGTGAGAAAGAGGGAGAGAAATCTTCCATCCATTGGTTCACTCCCCAAATGGCCACAACAGCCATCTGGGCCAGGCTGTAGCCAGGAGCCTGGGAGCTCCATCCAGGTCTCCCATGTGGGCGCAGGGGCCCAAGCACCTGGGCCGCCGTCTTCTGCTTTCCCAGGAGCACTAGCAGAGAGCTGCACCGGAAGTGGAGCAGCTGGCTTAACCTGCTGTGCCACAGTGCTGGAACACAGGCTGGCTTTACCACATGGCTATGGGTTGGGCCATGTGCCAAAAGTCATCCCATCCTCACGGAAGTGTGCTGGGCGGAGTGTGGGAAGCCTTAGTTCCCTGGGGCCAACCAAGCTGTCTGCCCTGTTGTCCGAGACCTCCAAAGGCCCACAGAGAGGAAGGCACTGGTCAGCACATGGGGCAGGGCTGTCTGGAGGAAAGAGCCCTCACCCTGGAGGTTTTTGTCGTCCAGCAGAGGGACCTAAAGCAGACGACCATTGTAGGGCCCTGCGGGAGGGGCTGGGAGGGAGCGTGTGTTGGAGACACCTCGTTCTCTGCTGCACAGAAGTTGGGGAGCAAGGACCCGACAGCCGGCAGGACACAACAGGGTTAAAGAGAGACTGGGTCTGGCTTCAGGCAGTGGTCCCTGTGAGCTGAGCAGTGAGCTGTCAGTTTTGTCTTCAGCTGCATCCACAGTTTCTCACATGCAGCCCAGGAGGACCCATGATCAGGTTTCAGGGTTATAAGCAGAAGGTAGGGGAGTATTTTGCTCCCTCCTCTTTAGTTAGAGTTCGGCAGATTTTCAGAAGTGCTCCTCGGTACAAAGCCAACAGCCAAGCCTCCTCCTTCCTGCTCTCGCCTTGCTGCACCCCAGGGCCTCCCTGTTCCAGAGGCTAAACAGAACGAGAGAGCAACCCACCTCTTCTGTATGCGTCTGTTTTTTAAAAATAGTGCATTTACTCAGTAAATAATACTTTTTAAAAGATTGATTTATTTGAAAGGCAGTTACAGAGAGACAGGGAGATGACGGAGAGAGGGATATCTTTTTTTTTTTTGCCTTTTTAAATTTTTTTTTAATTTTTTGACAGGCAGAGTGGACAGTGAGAGAGATAGAGACAGAGAGAAAGGTCTTCCTTTACTGTTGGTTCACCCTCCAATGACCGCTGCGGCTGGTCCGAAGCCAGGAACCAGGTGCTTCTCCTGGTCTCCCATGCAGGCGCAGGGCCCAAGCACTTGGGCCATCCTCCACTGCACTCCCGGGCCACAGCAGAGAGCTGGACAGGAAGAGGAGCAACCAGGACAGACTCCAGCACCCCGACTGGGACTGGAACCCGGTGTGCCGGCGCCGCAGGCGGAGGATTAGCCTAGTGAGCCGCGGCACCGGCCGAGAGGGATATCTTCCATCTGCTGGTTCACTCCCCAGATGGCCACAATGTTCAGGGCCAGGCCAGGCTGAAGCCAGGAGCTTTGTCCAAGCCTCCCACATGGATGACAGTGATCCAAGCACTTGGGCCACCTTCTGCTGCTTTTCCCAGGCCATTAGCAGGGAGCTGGATCGGAAGTGGAGCAGCCAGGACACAAACTTATATGGGACGCTGGCATCACAGTTGGTGGCTTTACCTGCCACACCACAATGCTAGCCCCAAATAATACTTTTTTAAAAATAAAATATTTGTCTATTAAATGTCCTCAAATGAGAATCAATTTGGGGAAATCAAGTTCGTGACATACAGGCACTGTCCATCCTGCACAGCCATGGGGACTTGATTTAGTCAAAAAACCTCCCCAGGAATAAGCCCAGGGCAGCAAGACAAATCCTTCATGGCAGACGCCCAGACCGTGTGGACAGGCGGCCTGCAGAAGACCCGCTGGGGACACGATGTGCACCTTGCCTTCAGAGCTCGTAAGTGACAGTGAAACAAGCAGAGCCTGGCAAGTACTGTTCACGTGGGGGAAGCATTGGTTAACCACGAGTTTAGTTCAAACCTAAGTGTTAAAAACAACAGCAGAAAAGGGGGAGAGTCGTGGCTATAATTACAATAAGAAAAATCGTCTCTGTGTCTCAGCATCGGCTGGGTGGCCAGCCCAGCCCTCGTGCTCTATTTCTGAAACCACTTAAAATACATGTGGCCTCCTCCTGCCCTCCACCCTCTCCTGCCTTGAGCCTCGGCTCCCCGCACTCTGCTCAGTGTGCACCTCTCACCCCTGCTTGGCTGCCGTCCCCTCCCTGGCTTGGTCTGGGGTGGGAGGTCCCGTGCGACATTCTGTTCGGAACACGTCTGCTGTTGGCCCTGCCCCTCCAGGCTGGCTAAGGTTTGGAGTTCTTGTCTGGTTGTCCCATGGGCACAGGCTCTGTCCACTCGTCTCTGCGGCACTAAACGTGTGCACACTCCTGCGTCCGTGCCGGTCAGACTCGCGCACAGGGACAGTAACCGCCGCCTCATCAACTTCCTGGGGAAGGGGTGAATTACGGTGGGGAGGAAGCAGCACAGCTGCAGACCAAAGCTTTCAGCATCCCCTCACGACACGCCTGGCCTCGGACACGTCCACAGTCCTCTCGGGGTGAGGCTTGGACCGCAAACACCAGGCAGACTCGGGGCTCCGAGCCGGAGCCGAGCAGGCAGTGGCTAAATGGAGACTCAGCTGCGTAGGCGTTCACGGCAGCTGTGAGGCCCAGCACTGCGCCCATGCCCTGCGTGGGCACAGGAAGTTGTCTTAAAGAGAAATGAAGGAAAGGCTGAATATGACGGGACTTCAGAAAATTGGTAATATTGTTAATAATATGCATGTTCTCTGAACTTTCTCAGGGTCTCTCATCTGTGGCACAGAGTTCTGCTGAGATCAGGATAATCAGGGTGGAAATCATGGTGCGACAGCGCAAGCCGCCACCTGCGACACACGCATCCCACACCAGAGTGCCAGTTTGACCCCAGCTGTTCCGTTTCCAATCCTGCTCCCTGCTAAGGCGCCTGGGAGGCAGTGGAGGACGGCCCAAGTGCTTGAGCCCCTGCACCCACGTGGGAGACGCAGGTGGAATTCCTGGCTCCTGGTTTCAGCCTGGCCCAGCTCCAGCTGTCATGGAGACTGGGGAGTGAACCAGCAGATGGAAGGCCTCTCTCTCCCTCAGAGTGTGTGTGTGTGTCCCTCTCTCTGATAACTCTGCCTTTCAAATAAAATAAATTTTTTTAAAAAGCGGCGGAAACATACTCGCTGGGCCACACACAGTCCCTGAGCAGCAGGGGAGGCTCTGGGGATGCCGCACCCCCTGGAGCAGTTTAGAGCTGACGGTGGTGGCCAAGTTGCGGTGTCTGGGCCCCAAGAGCTGATCTTATCAAACCACGGCTGTTTGCTGCCCGGTGACCACAGTCTGAGAAGAGAAATCTTTCCTGAATCTTTCATTGTTTCTTTGCCTTCTTAAATCGGTAAAAAGAAAGTGCTGTGACTTTCTCGTGACCCTGTGGTCACCCCAGCTCCCAAGTTGCTGGGCTTGAAGTTCCCATTTCCAGCTCTTCCTCATCTCTGTGTGGCCTCCCTTTCTGGGAACTGCCGGTCCTCCCCTGGTCAGTGCACCTGCCCGTGTCAGCCGTGTCGCACCCACGGGAGCCCTAACACTCTGGCGAGGGCGACTACATCCCCGAGGGCTGGGCCTGTGTGTAAAGGAAGAGCCGGCGGCTCAGAGACTCCTCTGGGTTTTGCTGTATTAACTTGAGCGATGACGTTTTCTCTCTCCAGGGCTGCCTCTGCATCGTCCCTGGTTTTCTGTCGCATTCTCAGCAGGTGAGGTGCTCTGTGGGGTCAGTCAGTGTCTGCAGCAGAGTGAGGTGCAGCCGTCTGTGTACTGTGATCCGTGCTGCTGTGTGCGTCAGGTCAGCTGGCCGCTTCACCGTCTCCGGGGCTTATCTCATGCCGTGCTGTCGCAACACCATCAGTTGGACAATTTGTCGGATGTCGCAAACAGTACGCTCTCTGTCCCGTGCTCCAGAATCAGGCAGAACTGGTTGGAGACCCAAATTTCATCACTGACTACTTAAGTGAACTTGCACAAATCTTTTCCCACCTCTGGGCCGCTCTTTCCTCATCTGTAATGCGGGTCGTAAACAGCCACCTCATAAGTTGTGGGGCTCAGATGCTGTCCTGCATGGCCTTGTTTAGTATCGTAACTCAGTGCCTAGAACATCGTGGGCAGTCAGCAACCTGTCGTCGTAACTCCTCTCTCACTCGAGTGCCCTCCCCTGAAAGCAGAGTGGTGTCTTTCTCAAGCTACTGAAAGTTTGGCCACAGAACCTTGTGTCGCCACTCCCCAGGCAGCCCTTCCGTGGGCAGCGGGAAGGCCTGGCCGTGAGAAGGCTTCTTGGTGTCAAGTAGCGGTCATCCTCTGTTTGAGGCCCGGCCGAGCTCCCCTCCCCTGTAGCAGAGGCTGACGCCTGAGTTTTCTCTCACTCTGCAGTGAACAGAGTATCTGCCAAGCCCGGGCTTCCGTGATGGTCTACGATGACACCAGCAAGAAGTGGGTGCCCCTCAAGCCCGGCCAGCAGGGATTCAGCCGGATCAACATCTACCACAACACTGCCAGCAACACCTTCCGCGTCGTGGGAGTCAAGCTGCAGGATCAGCAGGTGAGTGCTCGAGGCCCAGGGACACCACGAGCCGTGCACACCGCACACACAAGGTGAGAGGGAGTTGGGAAAAAGGTTTTCCAAACTGGGGTCTGGGTTCACATTCTGAGTCCAAGCCCTCGTTCTCCCAGGTGTGAGACCTTAAGCCAACCGTTTTTTTCTGAGCTTCGGTATTACCTGTGTCGTCTGGAAACAGAGACCTATACCCTGCCTACTTCACTGGGTTATTGTCAGATTAGAATCAAATATCGGCAGGCGCCGCGGCTCACTAGGCTAATCCTCCACCTTGCGGCGCTGGCACACCGGGTTCTAGTCCCAGTCGGGGCGCCGGATTCTGTCCCGGTTGCCCCTCTTCCAGTCCAGCTCTCTGCTGTGGCCCGGGAGTGCAGTGGAGGATGGCCCACGTCCTTGGGCCCTGCACCCCATGGGAGACCAGGATAAGTACCTGGCTCCTGCCATCGGATCAGCGCCGGCCGCAGCGCTGGCTGTGGTGGCCATTGGAGGGTGAACCAACGACAAAAGGAAGACCTTTCTCTCTGTCTCTTTCTCTTACTGTCCACTCTGCCTGTCAAAAAAAAAAAAAAAAAAAAAAAAAGAAAAGAAAAAAGAAAAAAAGAAAAGAAAAAGAATCAAATATCAGAGGTGGCAGAGCTAGGGGAAACATGTTGCACAGATGAGTTAGCCTTAGCTACACTTGTCCATCCGTGCAAGGTGGCTGCTAGGGGTCTGGGCTCACAGCCCCCAAGTCTTCATTTAGAAAGAGCGTCCCCTCCTGGACAAAAAAGATGGCATCGTTCGTGAGTGTGCTTGGTGACCAGCTGTGCAGACACCGGCAGGCAGCTGAATCCACCTGCGTGGTGAATAGCCACACACGACTGGCTCCGTGACGGACGTGACAGCCTCAGACCGGGGCGGGCGCACGGCGGTCTGGCTTAGCCGCAGCGCCTTGCTCACCGCGTCAGTGCTCTCCCTCCAGCTCTCTTCTCGCAGACTGACAAGGGCGTTTTTGGCTGTGACGTTAGGAGAGCTGTGGTTTCGGCCTTTATGAGAAGCTCGCCTCAGCTGCGTCCCCAGGCAGCCTTCGCTGGCCGGGTTTTGGCGAAGTTCAGAAGCAGGTTAGCTGCTGTCCCTGCAAGAATCCGCTTGCTAGCAGTGAGAAACGAGAACAGCGCTTGGGCTTGGTTTTCAGTGATACCTACCTGAATGAGTTTCTGCTTAGGCCAAAACAACCGTACCGAGTTTCGGATCCTTGAGGCCGAAAGAGATCTCCCCACTTCAGGACCCCGACTCTCAGGGTGTCTAACTTGAAACTCAGCAGCCCTTTCCCTGTTGATGAGCCCCAGTGCTGGGAAGATTCTCCTGGAGGTCGTCTAGGAGCTGCTTCCCTGTCACCCGATGCACTGTGCCAAATCTGTCCCCAGAGACACGCTGCGCACGCAGTGCAGGGTATGCAACACCCGGCTTCAGTTACGCTGACAGCCCAAAGCAGCTCACCGGGTCCCAGAACACCCCTGCCTGGTCGAGAGTCCTCCATGGAAGGTTCACGTCCCAGCCGCTTCTGAATTGGAGCAGGCGTTCCCAAGCATCAGTGCCTCTGCGGAAACCAGGAAGGCAGCAGGGGGCGCTGGGAGTGCATCAGCCTTGAGAGCTGGGTTCCCTGAGCACGGAGGCACCTGTTCTCAGAGCCGCCACCCCGCTGTGCCTCCCGCCAGGGAAACCACGCAGTGAGGAAGAGGCCTTTCCCCGTGGAGGGAGGAACTGGCAGCAGCCCTCGTGGTCCCTCAAGTGCTGAGAGCCTCTGAGTGCCCTCCTCAAGAAAGAGAAGTTGCCAGCGCGGCCTTCCTGCTGGAGTTCTAGGTTTGAGAGCCGGGTCCCCTCTCGCCAGGTGGAGGGGGCGGCTCTCAGAAGGCACAGGCACCGGGCAGGAAACCTGGGCCTTTCAGGACTCCAGGAAAAAAGATGGGCTTTCACAGGTCTATTTCCAGCCTGCGGACTCCCATCTTGAGTTGGTCAACAGGTGGGCACTGGCGCAACCATTAAAGCACTGTTTGGGAACCCCAAGTCTCAGGGTTCAAGTCCTGGCTCTGCTTCTGAGCCAGCTTCCTGCTGCGCATACCCTGGGAGGCAGCAGGTGATGGCTGAAGCACTAGCGTCCCTGTCACCCATGTAGGAGACATGGGTCGAGCTCCAAGTGCCTGGCTTTGGCCTGGCCCAACTCTGGCTGCTGTGGGCATTTGAGAAATGGACCAGAGAATGGAAGAGCTGTGTCGTGTGTTTTTCTGTTTCTCTGCACCTCTATTTCAAATAAAGAAAGAAAGTAGCGCAATCTTTCAAGAGAGACAGATACCTGGCCTGGTGATTGCATGGGTTCACCCTCCCATGTTTGCCACTCTGTGTGGTCTTGGCACACTTCTCATGTCTGTGATTTCATTCTCCCAGTAACCCCATGAAGATAAACAGTACAAGAATGTTATTCTCATTTTTGCTAAATAGGTGGATGTGAAACCAGATGACCACTTGTGGGAAACAGGACTGGCAGCGTATAGTGCTGTCAGCCAAAGTCTAGCCTCATCTCCAGCCTAACCTAATCCCTTCAAGAGGACTGAGAATCCTCTTGGATTGGTTGAGAATGAGCTGTGGCCACCAAAACTGCATGTAGAGTGAATAGATTAGAGGGATTGATAGAAGTAGAGCGAACTAGTAGACATGGAGTCAGTAAACAGAGGAGGCGGGCAGCAGGTCCTAAAGCAGACATTGCAGTCCTGCAGCCGTCTCACTGTTCACACTGCACCGGAGCGCTGGACCAGACCCAGTGCCACTGACTGGAGTCTGTGAGGCCTGTGAGCTGGCGAGAGCTCTGATTGCAGTGTGATCTGTGGAACAATGAAGGGAGTAAGAAGGGATTCCTGCTTGGGGGAGAGAGCGAGAAGGGGGCTCACCCGCAGTTTTAAGGAAGACCGTTCTTGGCTGGTGCCGCGGCTCACTTGGCTAATCCTCCGCCTGCGGCGCTGGCACCCCGGGTTCTAGTCCCAGTTGGGGTGCTGGATTCTGTCCTGGTTGCTCCTCTTCCAGTCCAGCTCTGCTGTGGCCCGAGAGGGCAGTGGAGGATGGCCCAAGTACTCGGGCGCCTGCACCTGCATGGGAGACCAGGAGGAAGCACCTGGCTCCTGGCTTTGGATCGGCACAGTGCACCAGCCGTAGCAGCCATTTGGGGGGTGAACCAACAGAAAAGGAAGACCTTTGTCTCTGTCTGTCTGTCTGTCTGTCTCTCTCTCTCTCTAACTCTGCCTGTTAAAAAAAAAAAAAAAAAAAAAAAAAGGAAAACCGTTCTCCACTGCTTTTTTGTAAAGGACTCAACTGTTTTACTCAGAGGCCTCAAAAACATGTTTGAGGATATTTGGAGTCGCGAGACCTGCCGTTGAAAGGACAGGAGAGGCACTCCCACTCCTGTACTCCCCGGAATAAGACGTTGACAAATGCTGTAATATGGACTCACATACAGAAAGTGCCACGTGTTAAAACAAGTTTATCCTTCAGCCAGAGTATGCATCAGTCCTGCCAAAGCTTGCAGAGTTAACATTTCTAAATATAGCTGATGGGAGAAAGGCTAAAAATTAAAGATTAGAAAGAGAGAAACCAAGCAAACACCATCCAGACACTGGTGCGATGTATTTATCCCAGTTAAAGTAGACCGTGTGGCAACAGGTATCGCTAAAGATGAACTCTGACCTTTCTAGTGATAAAGCAGTCCACTGAAAAGCAAGTCATAGTAACCCTAAATTGTATGCATCTAATAACATAAATTTAAAATATTTAAAGATGGGCAAATCTAAAGACAGAAATAGACCAATCCAGAAGCATAGAGATGCTAATCATACCTCTAGGTGACAGACTGAACATGCAAACAGAGTTGAGGAAAGATGGAAAAATCTGAATACGATTATTAATCAACTTGACCTGGTTCGTTTTTGTAGAAACTACAGCCAACCACTTCACGGTATATGGTCTTCTCGAGTGCCATGAAGTATTTACTAAGGTAGACCACATGCTGAGCCGTAAAACAAGCCTAGGACGAGAATGGATTAAAATCCAGCAGAGGGACCTACATTGTGGCCCAGCGGACCTGCAGTGCCAGCATCCCAAATAGGAGCTCCGATTTGAGTCCTGGCTGGCTGTTCCACTTCCAATTCAGTTCCCTGCTAATGCACTTAGGAGAGCAGCAAAAAATGGCCCAAGTACTTGGGCCCCTGTCACCCATATGGGAGATCTGGTTGGAGCTCCAGGCTCCTGGTTTCCATGTGGACCAGTCCTGGCTGTTGTGTTCATTTGGGAAGTGAAAGCTTCCCTCCCCTCCCCTCCCTTCCCAGTAGAATAATGAAAAAATCTCCAAATGTTTGGAAATTGGGTAGTACATTACTAGGGAACAATGGGACAAATAAGGGATCATAATGTAAATTAGAAAACATTGAGAACTAAAAAATACTGAAAATACAACATAGCAAAACTTATACAATGCAGATAAAACAACACTGATAAGTAAAATTATAACTATGAATGCATATTTCAGGAAAAAAGAATGAAAATCAGTGATCTGTGCATCTACCTTAAGAAGCTAGAAAAATAAAAAGCAAATTAAACCCACTAAAGTAGAAGGAAGAAAATAGATTCAAAGCAAAAGCTACTCAGGGATGGCTGGGTCTAGGCTGTTGTCTCCAACGCAAGAAAGAATTTGAGAACAAAATGTAGGTCAAGGTCAGGAGAGAAGCAAGATTTATCTGCATGCAAAGTAGAACACACTCGTGCAGGAGTGCTGACGTGTTCACGAGAGAGCTGTGCCTGGCGAGGTTCAGGTCCACCCGTTTGCATGAGCTGCAGCCCGCAGTGGTGTCTTGGGTGGGGTTTGGCTCAGGGTTTAAGCACCACCCATTTCCTTGACCTTTTTTGGAAAACCTAGAAGTGTCATGGTGTCAGGTGCATGATGGGAATGGGAGTGGCAGCCA